ACTAAGCAATCTTTTTTTGTATCTTTAGTTTTTAGAACAATCGTTTCACCTGCATCCAAAAGTCTTTGACCCAAATCATGCTCGTAGGCAATGAGTGAGCCAATCAAATTATCAATAGAATAATCATTCAAATCTTTTGATTCACAAATAGCAACAACTTTGGCATCAAATTTTTCAAGTAAACAACGAATAATTTTATTGACTTTCTTTTCCTAAGGCATGCAATGATGTTACAATTTGAATGAACCTAGTGTACATGTCTAAGATCATCTCATAAGGTTTCATGGAAAACAGTTCAAAATCATGCATTAACAAATTCAACTTGGATTGCTTGATTTCACTAGTTCCTTCATATATGGTGTGCAATTTATCCCAAACTTCCTTATCGGTAGTGCACGTAGATACTAACATGAAATCATCAGAATTTAAAGCACAAAAAAAGCAATTTAAAGACTTCGCATTCAGTTGAGCAATGAGTTGTTCTTCCTTACTCCATCGATTAAAAGGAATATCAATTTTAATTCCATCTAAAACTCGTGACGGTGAGGAATAACCATTTAAAATCATATGCCACATACGAAAATCTATCGATTGCAAGAAAATAGACATGCGAGTTTTCCAAAAACTAAATGACATATTTTCAAATAAAAGAGGATGTTGATTGAATAACCTTCCGCAATAGTATGATTAGCCATGGATCAAAATTCAAAAGCTTTTAAAAACTTATTTTATGAAAACTTGCTCTGATACCACTTGAAAATGCTCAGATGGCACTTGAAAGTCTGTTAGGGATGTTAAGCCCTTATGAACTGGCCCAAGGCTAAATAAAATAGAGGTGAATTGGATAACTTTAAAACCAAAGATAAAACTCAAACCAAAATCACCACAGAAATCAAAGTGCGGAAGAAAATAATGCGGAAGCAATAATAAGAAAAGAACACATCGGATTTATAGTGGTTCGGTCAAACCTTGACCTACGTCCACTCCTTGGAGGCACCCTCCAAGTATTGCACTAAACAAGTGTCTCTCCTTTAGCCCCCACAGCTAGGCGGAAAAGCCCTTACAAAATCACTTCCACCTTCCCCGGTGCGGAAGAGTCGCCGGGTCCTTTGACAACAAAGAGATCTTCTTCTTTGGTGAACTTACCTCGCGACAAGCCTTGAATCAGATGGTACTAAGGTGCGAGTTCGCCGGAGAAACCATGTGGAATCCCCTCCACACTCCCTTTAGTTCCTCCCCCTCACAGGTTCTTCTCCCTTCTCAAACTCCACCCTTTCCTCTCTCCCTTTCAAGCTCTCTCTTCAAGTTTCCCCCACAAGAACGAAGCTCTAATGGCTGCCAAAGACACTTACAAAGTGCCTTGTCATAGCTTAAATAGAAGAGCGAAAAATGATCTCATTAATGCAAGTTCTCGACATTATCATCCAGGACGATAGGCATATCATCCTGGCCGATTAGTTCAAATATGAGGAAAATTGTCCTGAATATCGCCCTGAAATGAAGCTGGACGATGTCTAATCATCCCGTACAATCTTGCGATCGGCCCGGACGAAATCCCAATTAATTGCTTTCCAAAACTGCCTGAGAAATTTTTAAAAAATTGCTCTGGATCATCCTAGACGATATTTTATAGTCCAGGACGATCCACCGGGACGATGTCCAAAAATTAGATTTTCCTAAGTAGATCTGGCGGCAGATTCTTGCTGAATTGAGCCGATCATCCTGGCCGATACAAAATCGTCCAGGATGATGTGTTTTGCATAAAGACGGCTGCTTTAAAGAGGATGCCCTAATTAGGGTTTCTACTTTTGTCAGATCGTCCAGGATGATATAAATATCATCCCGGATGATATTACCAAAAATAGAAATCTTTTAGGGCACAACAAAAAATCTTCCAAGTTACAAATCATCAGATGCCACACTAAATACAACATACTCAAGAAAGGAAAAAGATTACAAACTGACACAGACCTAGTCTACCCAATCTTGAGCTGGTTCCAAATTGCAGTCTGATCATGTGGACCTGAAATGTTAGCACAAAAGGCAATCATAGAGAAATAAGGAATGTTTGCTATCATCAAAATCATAAACCATTGATCAATTTGTGCTTGTTTATTTATAAGATTGTGGCAAATGTTTTATTGAATAGATTGCTAAAAGTTATACGTAAAATTGTTTCGGATGTTCAAGTGGCTTTTATAAAGGGAAGGACTTTATCTAACCACATTCTCCTTATTATAAAACTTTTCAATAAGTTTAGATACTTAAAGTCAAAAAAGGATTGGGGGAAATTAAAGTTGACATGGAGAAAGCCTATGATAGTATGGCTTGGCCTACTTTGAAGCAAGTTTTGGAATATTTTGGTTTTCCTTTTCATTTTCTCTAATCTTTTGATGGAGTGTTTGGTTGATCCAAAATTTTCTATTATCATTAATGGAAATATTTCGAAGTGGATTGAAGCTAAAAGTGGATTTAGACAAGGTTTTCCATTATCTCCATATTTGTTTATTATTTGTTCTCAACTCTTGTTGAATGCTTTTATTCAGAAAAGAAGGTGTTTGGGTATAAATGCTGCTCCTGGAGCACCAAAGATCAGCCATTTGTTGTATGCTAATGATATATTATTGTTCTTTGAAGCAAAGCTCAGGTATTTGAAGAAGATTAAAAAAATTCTCTATGATTATTATATGTGGATAAGGAAAAAAATTAATATATAGAAATCATGTATTATTTTGGTAAATATATTAGGCAAAGCAAGAGTAGAATTATATTGAGGTTATTGAGATTTAATGAGGTAAAGGAGATGAGTTATTTGGGTATTAGAATGGCTTTGAGAAGGATGGTATCTTCAAAATTTTTAAACCTCTTGGAAAAAGCTGCTTGCAAGATGATTATGTGGGGGAATAGGCTAATTTCTTTGGCTGGTAAATTATTTTTGATTAAATCAGTAATTCTCTCAATGCCAGTTTTATTTTCATCTAATTCAATTATTCTTTTGAGCTTTTTTAAGGAGTTTGATAGGATGTGTAGTGTTTTAATATGGAATAAGCAATGAGGTAATCGTGGTTTACATTATGTGGCTTGGAGTGATCTTTGTAAACCATTCAATTTTGGAGGACATAGACTGCATTCAATTGGATTGATAGTTGGTTTTTGAGAGAAAATTTTGCATGGAATTTCTATAGCAAATATGATTCTCTATTAAATAAGCCATTGAGTGCTAAATATGGTGACATTTGCATGCTGAGTTTTAGAGAAACAATTCTAACACTTGGAAAATATTAGTAAGTGGAATTAGAGCTCTTCGACCAATATTAAGATGGAAGGTTGCATCAGGTATTTCTATCAATATATTAAAAGATGAATGGGTTTTTGATAGAAGTTTTGATAGATGGTCTACGTTTATAGCTGTTGTGGATGGTGAATTTCCCAATTTTGACAAGTTTATTACTGATGGTGGGTGGGTATATGCAGAATTAACAAATTACTTTGGAAGGTGTTTAGTTGATGTTATATCACTAATTCAAATTCTCCCTTAAACTTCTAATGATTAACTAGAGCTTATTACCTATTTTTTTGGCAAATCTATTGCTTCTTAAATTAATACAACTAATTTGGATAAAGTTAATTATTGGAAAGGGATGGAAAAGTTGCAGCTATCTCCTCGGGTGGAGTGTTTTTGGTGGCTGATATTCAACAATGCAATCCCTACTAATTTTTTCTTATTGTATAGAAGATTGTATATTGATAACTCTTGTCTGAGAGGCTGCATTGCCAAGGAAAATTTAGAACATGTTATGGTTAAATGTTCCAAACTTAACCAATTTATTGTACTGTTTAACAAATGGGGATTTCCTATCCCAGTTTCTCATCTATGTTGGAATGTATAAGGAAGTTGGAGGAGCTATTAGAAGGTAACTAATTCATTGGAAACCTTTATTGTTTGTTGGTATTCTTTTCTTAGAAAAGTAGAAATTGTTTAAAGCTTGATGGTAAAGAGCTTGGTTTGGGTTTCATTGCTTCAAATGCCATTAGTCATGCTTTTATTTCATTGAAATTTAATCTTTTTTTGGATTACTGGGGTGTTAATCAGCATCTATTGTTTCTCATTCTTGGCACCCTCCTCTTCCTGAATGGGTTAAAGTCAACATTGACGCTACTTTATTACAATCTTATGAAGCAACTATTTGTTGAGTTTTTAAAGATCATATAGGAATAATCTTAACTACTTTTTCTTAACAATTTTTGGGTTCAAATGTATTCATTGGGATAGTGGATTTTTGGAACTACTTTCTTTTCATTCTTTGAAGAATATAATCCAAGAGTGGATGACAAAAACTAAAGGTATTATAATTGAAGTTCATAATTATAATATCATTAAGTATTTACAATATTTAATTGGGAAAGCTTCTTTTTTTTTTTTTTTTTTGAATAGAAGATGCAATATGCATTAATGAAAAAAAAAAAAAAAGAAATTACATGGGGCAGTCCTTCCTAAACAAGTGTAAAAAACTTGTAGGAAGATCTGTTTCAATAAAAGAGTCCCAAAAGAAATTGCCTAACAAAGCAAACTTGGCACAGAAATCAGCCATTTAATTACAATCTCTATGAGCAAAAAGGAATATGACGTTGTTGAAAACTTGTAAGAATGATAGGTCCGGCTTCGTACCTTTAATGGTCTTCAAGTTGATTGTGTCTTAGAGCAACTTTATGATATTAACATTGTCTCCTTCAATGATTATTCCTTTATAATCACAAAACCAATTTTGAATGTAGTTTCCAAATGAAAGAATAGCTTTGAGTTCGAGATATGCAATGTCCCAATGAATTAACTTTCTACCATATGCACATAACATTCTACCTTTGCAATCTCTTAGTACTCATGCTATACCCGCCATGTTATTTACAGACAGAGCCGCATCAACGTTCAGCTTAATCCAACCATCGGGTGGGGGACACCAATATTAGGATAGCAACAGTAGGTTGGTGTTCCAGTTCTTCTAGATTGGATTTGACTGAAGGTAAGAAACATGGGAAATGATTTCTGCATCTGTGTAAGCAATGGGAATTTCAGCATTAACGTGCTTGACCATATTTCGTGATCTCCAACTGTAGTAAACCGCCAAAGCATAGATTTTAGTAAGTCCCTTATCAGCTTTCTGTTTTAATGCCTTAATACATTCATCCAGATTTTGAAAGGAAGGGACATTGAATCCACAACTTCTCAGTTTCTGTAATAAAACTGTCAACTTGCTACACTTGATAATAACGTGTTCTGTGTCTTCATTCTCATGACATCCTCTTGGACATTCAGTGGTATTTGCCAGTCTTCTATAACATAACCAATCCTTCGTTGGTAAAGCACCATTCAAAGCTCTCCACCAGAAAAGATAAACTTTCTGGTCCAATTTTAAATTTTTCAGCCAATTATAATTGCTATACTTACTAACAAAAAGTAAGCTGTTAGCTTCTGCACATAATGTTGAAACAGTTTTCCCTGTGTTGGTATGAATTAGTTCAATTCTGTCTTCTATATTATTCGCCCCTTTCTCCAACTGCTGTATAAGCTCAATCATATCTCTTGAAAAGAATTCAGATAATTTTTCTGAATTACAATTACCCTCCTCATCCATAAGAAAGGACACTTTATTATCTGCAATGTCAATTGTATTGCACGTAGCAGGCCATCTATTGAGGCTTCTATCTAAAATCCGATTATCAGCAGTGATATTGATACTATGACCATTATTTAAATGCCATCTAACAACTGGTTTCAGGTACTCAATACCCTCTTTGATAATTTTCCAAGCAGTAGTAACTCCTCTCTTCATGCCTTCATCCCAAATTTTATCTCCAAATTTTTTGTAAAGAATTTTATAGAGGAGAGAGTTCTTGTTTTGTAAAAACATCCACTCCATTCTCGATCTTAGTGGACCCTATCTCTTCGTAGCTCCATGGATGTCAAACCCTCCTAAGCTGGTGGGTAAGCAAAGAGTGTTCCAAGCAATATAATGCAAACCTTGTTTGCCATTATCTTAATGCCACAAGAAATTCCTACACATTTTGTCAACTTTCATTAAAATTCTTTTATGAATGACTGACTGAGCTACCTAATCATGCTCGAATAGGCAGTTCTGATGAGTAGAATTCTTCCAACCAGTGATAGCCACCTAGCTCCCCAAGAATTAAGTTTACACATTGCTTTCTCAATGGTGCTGCTATGGTCTTCGGCTTTCATTCTTCTTAAAGCCAATTTAATACCCAAATAATAGAATTCTTTAGCTTCTTTATAACCCATAATTTTATTAAGCTTGATTCTTCTACTTTTGGAGACTTTCCTACCATATAAAACCAATGAATTTTGAGAGTTGATCATTTGGCCTGTCCAGCTGCAATAGCATTTGAATATTTTCTTCAATGTTCTCACATTTTTACTGTAAGCTTCAGCAGTCACGAGAACATTGTCTGCAAACAGTAAATGTGTAATCTTCTCTATATTCGTTGCTAGTCTCATCCCCAACTACACCTTATATTCATTGAGAGCTTTAGATAGGAGATCCGAGCATAAAATGAACAAGCTTGGAGACAGCGGACACCCATGCCTGAAGCCGCATTGAGCATTAATCCACTTAGTTCTTCTGCCATTAATTACTACAGCGAATTTCGGGTTTGAAACACATTGCATAATCAGCTTTGATAATCAATCTGAAAAACCAGTTAATTTCAGAACCTGCTCAAGCATTTCCCAACACATACAGTCGTGCTTGCTCCATGTCAAGTTTTAAAAGGAAATAACCCGGCTTAGCAGCAGATGATTTCATCTTGCAAATAATCTCCTGTGCAATAAGGCAATTATCCAAAATACTCCTGCCAGGGACAAATGCTCCCTGGAATTCAGAAATGTCTACCGGAAGGCAATTTTTGAATCTATTGAGGACCATACCCGCTGCCATCTTGTATAGCGTTTGGCATAGGCAAATTAGCCTGAACTTTGAACATTATTTAGCATTCTGTATTTTCGAAATCAGCAAAATCATCGTTTCCTTCTATTGCTCAGGCATTTCCCCTATTTTGAAAAAAATCATTAATCTCATTCCATGTTGTTCCTTCTACAATGTTCCAATAATTCTTGAAAAAGTAGGCATTTGCTCCGTCAGCTCCAGGTGATTTATTGTTGCCCATATTATTGATTGTTACTTTCAGCTCTTCTATAGTGAATTCTACTTCTAGAATTTTCCTCACATTATCCTGAATGCATTCAAAACTTTTGAACTTTGGCCAATTCTTCAAATCACAGTTACGTTTGAACCACTTTTTGTGAAAAAATTCTCCATGATTTTATGGATATCTTCATGATTAGAGACCAACGATCCATCCTCCCTAGCAATTTGTAGTATTTGATTGCTCCTCTTCTTGGTAGTAGCATAAGTGTGGTAATATCTCGTGTTTTTCTCGCCTTCGTCCATCCACTGGCATTTTGATCTTTCTCTCCACCAAGTAGCGATTCTAGTCAAGTTTGAATTAAATTCTGCTACTTTGCTTTTCAATAGAATAAGGTCTCCCTGGCTCAAGCCTCCTTCAACAGCTTCTCTGTTTTGAAAATCCAAAATTTCCTGCTTAAGCGCATGATTTCTCAAATTCAGCTCCTTTAACTTGATAAAAAAGGTTCTTAAGAGACCTTTTAATCTTCCTTTGTAAAATTTCATTAGCATTACCAAAATCATTTTTTCTCCAAGATTTGGATATGATGCCTTTAGCAGCCTCATACGAGCACCAAATAATTTCAAACCTGAACTCTTTGTTGTATTGTCTTGCTTTATCTTTGAGCTAGAGAAGAACAGGATAATGGTCCGAGGACATTCTTGGGAGATGTTTGATAATTGCATTTAAAAAATCCATAATAGCTTTAGAATTTAACCAAATTCTATCTAACCTTTCCCAGATTCTAGCAAGACTTCCTTTGTTGTTACACCAAGTGTAGTTGGGTCCATTAAACCCAATGTCATGGAAGTCATTGTTAGTCATGAATTCCTTCATTTCTTGTGGGCCTTGAGAGAACACAAAAATTTTTCCCCCAAGTTTCTCACTGTTGTTCACTAGGCAATTGAAATCACCTCCAACAAGACAAGGCTCTTCACAATTCATGTTATCTTCAATCATTTCCCATAGTTTCCTTCTTTCATACAAGTTTTTGTTGCCATAAACAATGCAAATTTTGACCCTCTTGCCTTTTGGAGTAATAAGCTCACAAATAATACACTGTTTTGAAGAAACATTCACCTTGAACGATGTAGTTCTATGTCTCCATAGAACAAGGATTCCTCCTAAAGTTCTTGAAGCCGCTTCATGGTGGAAGTCCCAATCATTCCCCACCATCCTTCTGACATCATCACCATCCAAAATTTCCATTTTTGTTTCTAACAAGCCAATGAAAAAAAGACCATTTTCTATTATCATGTTTCTTAAGTAGTGGGAGGCAGCTTTCTTCTTTCCTCCCCAACAATTCCATACTAAAATTGAAGACATTTAAAAGGGTTTTGGGTTTAAGGCCCCTACCTTGTCACCTCATCCCCCACCTTCCCTAGTTCTATGTTTCCCTTTAATGGGTCCATGCATTTTCATTTCCTTAGCTAGTTTGGTTTTGCCACTAGACACCTTTAAGGTCACCATGTTGTTTTCCACCTGCTCTTTGAAAGTTGGGTGTTTTGTTTCCAAAAAATCCCTACTGTTTTCAGCTTGTATCTCTATCTTTTCTATCATTATCTTCATATTTTGTTCTTCATCAATTTCTTCCAGAATTTCAAATGGGTTATTTAAAAGCTTCACCCCCTGCTCTACCTTATTTCCCTCTGAAAATTCTATCTTTTTGTCTTCCATGCAGACATGGTCGTGATTTCCAAACTCATTATTTTAAGACTCAGGGTCATCCACATTTTCATTAATAATCTCTCCTTCTTCAATTAAGAGATTTACCTGAGTTTGAGGCACTGGAGGATTTTCGATCAGGTCATTGCTTGGTTTCCCTGTTCTTTCTATATCAACAGTCTTCGACATAATTCTCCAAGAGTTGTTGTTATGAGCCTTCATATCATTATTTTTACTGGCCGTCTCCTTATTGTAAAAAACATTTTGCTTCTTTCTCTTGTTGTTCACCAGCACCCAAGGGCCATAGATCTTCTTTTCTTCCTCTACATTAAGCTGCTTTGGATCCTGGGATATCTCCTTAGTAGAGTTCCTGTCTTCAACAGAATCTGCTTTGTTACAGTCATCCCTCACATGTCCAATTTTACCACAATCAAAACAAAAATTTGAAATTCTTTCAAATTCAACTTTTTGATAAAATCTTCCTCCCATGCTTTCTACCCACACTCCAGCTGGTAGTCTCTGATCAAGCTTAATTCGAACGCAAACCCTGGCGAATTCTCTTATTCCCCAACTGAACATGTTGCCATCCAACATTAATGGTGTCCCTACTACAGCTGCTATCCTTGCTATATTGTTTTCATCCCAGCATTGTAATGGTAATTGCGGCATTCTCATCCAAATGGGCGATGTAAGACCTTCCTTTGATGACGGTGAGAATTCCAGCGACCATATTTCCATTCCAATGATATGCTCATTTACAAACCATGGTCCTCCCTTCAAGACTCCTTCCATGGCTTCGCTAGTTTTAAATGAGCATAGAAACCACCCCATTCCTAAAGTGGTGAAATGGAATTTGTCAAATTGAGTCCATTGTCTCCTGAGTTCCCAAGAAACATCTTGCGATTTTATATCTTTCCCAAAAACCTTGCAAACAAAAGACTTCCCTAGTAGATTCGCATTCTCTATTTCATCTTCTTTGTTTAATTGAATAGCCTTACCATCCTCAGTGAAAATAACTTCTTCTTCATGGAAATTCAATTTGATGTATGGTTTCCTGCTCCATACATTACCAAAGTTCAGCTTTTTAATATTCTTCTCAGTCAATTGATCAGCAATTTGATTCGCATTAGCCTCCTTAATCTGTTCTGATTCCAACTCCTTTTGGATCACCTGTCTGAAGGATTTCGGAACAACAAAACTGTTATCAGAAATTCGTCGATTCTCAATAATATCGTGTTGCCCTCTTTAGCATTTGGTTTACCAAATCATTGAACAAAAATGTTCATACTCGACGAAGAAGCTTCCCGATCATGAAAAACCTCATGTGCGTCACTCTTATTCGAAGTAATCGGAGTTTTCGTGATAGAAATCGACTCAATCGATTTACCTTTTCCAACACATTGTTGAAAAATTTTAGAAACATTGCCTACATCCTCATTTATCACCAACATACCTCTCGATCGTCTTCTTCGAGCTTCTTTCGCATCCATAGCTTTTCTTGAAACTGTTTGCCCTTCAATTGCTTTCCCCTCCTCAAATTCCATCATCGATACCAAAGAATCATTCTTCAGATCCAAGTTATCCGTCGAAGAATGACGGACATCCGCCTCCAGATCACCGGCTGAAAAAACCCGCGAAATTAGAATTCAAAATTTCTCTTTCTAGTTCTTGCTGTTTTTCTCTCTGCCGCGCAACTCTTCTTGGGATATAAATAATGAAGTGGTGGAGAACTTGTCTTTTTAAAAAGCTTTTGGGAATTTATTATTTCCTTTTACTTATAGAAATTGTAATAGGTTAGTGGATTATTGTGCAAACTTTGCTTTAGATGGTGATTTTTTATTGGGATGATTTAAGTTGTAATAAGGTTCCTCCTTCTTTTCTTCTATGTTAAATGAGGATCGTCATAGTTTTTCTATAATGTGGTAGCTTGTATTAGGCCTTTTCTTATTTTTAAAGCAATTTGCATTTTCTCAAAAAAAAAAAAAAAGAAGAATATTGCTACTAGTTTTTCAAATATGAAAAACCCTAAAAATATTGTCTTTGTTTTTAAATT